TGGGAAGATTATACTACAACTTCAAGCTCTGCTACAAAGTCACAGTAATCAAAACAATTTGGTACTCATGAGAACTGCCCCTTAGATCAATGGAACTGAAGAGATAGCCCAGATATAACACCACACATATATAGTCAATTAATATATGATAAAGGAACCATAAACATACAATGGGGAAAAGACAGCCTCTTCAATAATGGGTGTTGGCAAAACTGGACAGCTACTTGCAAAAGAATGAAACTGGATTACTGTCTAACTCCATACACAAAAGTAAACTCGAAATGGATCAAAGACCTAAATGTAAGACATACAACCATAAAACTCTTAGAAGAAAACTTAGGCAAAAATGTCTTCAAATATGAATTTTTTCCTGGACACATCTCCGCAGGCAAGAGAAACAAAAGCAAAAATGAACACATGGGACTAAATCAAACTAAAAAGCTCTGTGCAGCAAAGGACACCATCAGCAGAACAAAAGGGCAACAACCTACAGTATGAGAGTATATTTGTAAACAACTTATCCGACGAGGGGTTAACATCCAAAATATATAAAGAATTCATATGCCTCATCACCATAAAAACAAATAACCCAAATAAAAAATAGGCAGAGGACCTGAACAGACATTTCTCCAAAGAAATACGGATGGCCCAACAGGAACATGAAAAGATGCTCCACATCACTAATCTCAGGGGAATGCAACTCAAAATCACAATGAGATATCACCTCACACCAGTCAGAATGGCCACTATCCAAAAGACAAGAAATAAAAAGCATTGACAAGGATGTGGAGAAATGGGAACCCCCCTACACTATTCGTGGGAATACCAACTGGTGCAGCCACTGTGGAAAGCACTAGAGGTTCCTCAAAAAAAATAAAAATAGAAACACCATATGACCTAATAATTCCACTTCTAAGAATTTACCTGAAGAAAACAAATGCCCTGATTTGAAAAGATATATGCACTCATGTTTATTGCCACTCTATTTGCAATAGCCAAGATATGGAAGCAACCTAAGTGTCCATCAGTTGACGATGGATAAAGTAGATGTGGTACATATACACAATAGAATATTATTCAGCCATAAAAAAAGAAATTGTGCTATTTGCAATATAGATGCACCTAGTGGGTATTATTCTTAGTGATAAAAGCCAGGCAAAGTCAATTACCACATGATTTCACTTATTTGTGGAATCTAAAAACAAAACTTAAAAGAGAATGTACAAAATAGCAGTACACTCATAGACACTGAGAAGTGACTGATGGTCTATGAGGGAGGGACTAATGAGGGGGGGTGAGCGTGAAGTGGATAAAGGGCTCAATCATAAGTTAGTCATGAGGATGTAGTACAGCATGGAGAATACAGCCAATGATTCCATAACATCTTTTTATGTTGACAGACAGTAACTATACTAGTGGGGGTGAGGATTTAATAATATGGTAACTGTTGAACCACTGTGTTGTATATTTGAAATGAGTAAGACTGTATCAGTAATACATCAATAAAAAAAATTATGGTATCCTGAATGGGATCATGGAAAAGAAAAAGTAGGTAAGAATTAAGTAGTTTATCTCAATAAACGATGGACTTCAGTTAATAATAATGTATCAATATTGGCTCATTAAGTGTAACAAATATAGCTATATAAATAATAAATGACAGAAGCTGGGTGTAGCATACACGGGGACTCTCTGTACTGTATTCTTGACTGTTCTGAAGATATAAAACTAGTTTAAGAAGTCTACAAAAAAAGAAAATACATACCAAAAGGTTAACAGTAATAATCTCTCTCTAGTGAGAATATGGGTAATTTATGCTTCTGCCTTTTATAGTTCTCTGTGCCATACACATTTTCTAAGTTCTCTGCTGCTCTAAAAAGTATATGCATACAAGTTTTCTCAACATGTTTATTCTACATTTGAACTGTAATTATAAACTTTAAAAGTATATACTATTTATTGAATAATTACAATTTATAGTATACTAAGAATTTTAGCAATACTGTAAACAGTATTACTCCCTTTTAGAAATGGAGAAGTAGAGGTTCAGATAGTTTAAGCCACATAGCTAATAAGTGGCAGGTGAACTGACTCTATAAACATGTTTTCTTTCTTTCTAATACAGCTTCCCTAGAATTACCTGTTCAGCACCTCGTCAAACAGTGCTAGTATATACATTATCTTAAAGTAACCACAACAATGCAACAATGCAGTGGGTTATCGATACCCACATTTATGTGAAACTGTCAGAAGAAAAATGTTTGACAGGCACCACTCAGTGCTAACTCCACCAAAAACATAACAAAATCTTCATCAGATAACACAATACAAGCAGCATTGTTACAAACACTGCCAAACCTACTCCTAGTAACTTATAAATACTATACAGAGATGTTGCTTTAACAGAAGACATCCTAATCATGCCTCCTTCCTAAGCAATAAGGCAGTTTTTTCAAAATTTATCAAGTCAAAGAGCTAAAATTGGACTTATTTGAAGAAACATTGAGACTGACTTCTTGCCGTTATCAAGGATTAACCACCCCACACTGCTCAAGTTATTTCTGTGACAGAATTGATAAATTTAGAATAGCCTACACCTGTGCTTTTTATACCATTTTGTGATTCCTTAATTCACAGGATGACTCAACCTATGCTGACCTATTGTTAAATAAATTGGTCTATTTTTAGGTAAATTGGTCCCTGTCATGAAAATAAGCCAAGAGTAGACTGCACACAGGGCCTAAACAAGGGAAACCGAAAACTTGCCCGAAGTGTTACACTGTAAATTCACCATCAACAAACAAGATCATATACTTGGAGGAGCACTGTCAAAGGGGGACAGAAGCCAGACTGGCGGGTGACCGCTGGCCAATTCTGAGTATCAAAATGAAAAACTAAACAGTAAGAAAAGAACAAACCAATTTTTCAAAGTAGATAAGATTTGAACATTCTACCAAGAAAGATATACAGATAACAAGTACATGAAAAGATGTTCAACATAATTAGGTATTAGGGAAATGCAAATTAGAGTCACAAAAAAAACCTGACACCAAGTGGTGGTGAGGATGCAGGTAACTAAAATGTCCGTCCAGTCATTGCTGGTGGAAAAGCAAAATGGCACAAATCACTTTGGAAAATAATTTAACAGATTTCAATAGTTAAAAATTTGATTACAGTATGGATCCAACAATCCCACCCCTAGTTATTTATCCAAGTTCCTGTGTAGAAGTGTTCATAGCAGCTTTATTTTTTATCAAAATTCAAATGTGCCTCATCAGAGGATTGGATAAACTATGGTACACCCATTCAAATAATGCAGTATAACTCAAAATAAAAAGGACCGCTAAATCTCAACTGCAACTCAAGGTAAGTGAAATATAACACTCATAAGGCTACATACTGCACGATTTCATTTACATGGTATTTTGGAAAAAGCAAACCACAACGTCAGAGAACAAAAAGTTGACAAGAGTTTAAGAATGGTGGAAGGTTTTGAAACCAAAGGAGTAGCAAAGGGAATTTTGCGGGGAGGAGGGGATGATAGGAATTGCTGAGTATCTTGTGGTGATTACATAAATCTACCCATATTAAAATTCATAGAACTATAAATCAAATTCATTTTCTGTAAATTAAAATCAAGTGAAAAGAAAGACTTTAAAGGATTAAATCCTTTAGTTCCTTAACACAGAAAACCAACTAATAACCCCAGGAAATTTGAGTACATCTGGATTAATCAACTGTACATCTCCTGATACAAGCATTGAGAATTTGGCATTACTTCTGGGGTAGTCCTGCTAAAAACACTGAACCAAATCTAATCATGAGAAAACATCAGACAAGCCCAAATTGAGGTCACTCTACAAAATAACTGGCTTGGACTCTTCAAAAATACCAATTATCATAAAACATAAAACTCAGCAACTGGTCCAGATGAAAAAAGTCCACAGCAATCTAAGTACCCAATGCAACACACAAACATACTTTTTCTATAGAGGACGTCTTAGTTGGGACAACCGAAAAAACTCATTATCATCCATTGGGTAAAGCAGTATTGTATCACTGTTTAATTTTCTAATTTTGATCATTGCACTGTGGTTATGTAAGAAAATTCGCTGTTTTTTGAGGGGAAAAACATTGAAATATTTGGTGGTATTACTCTTAAATGGTTCAGGAAAAAAGAGAGAAAGCAAGCAAGAGTTCACTTTAAGTGAAGGGTACCCAGGAATTCTTTGTATTACTCTTGCAACTTTTCTTAGTCTGAAATTGTGTCAAATTAAATTTTTTAAAAACATAAACGTCTCCTGGACTAAACACAACAGACTGAGTAATATAAAGGATGGAATCGGCGTGAACACATTTACTAAAATTAAAGAGTCTAGGGAAAACTCTCAGCACTGACTCAGTACTAACCATTGAGATGTGTCCCAGCACACAGCCTGGAGTTCTGGGTTTTACTGTGGAAAGGAAATGAGCTTGATACTGTTAAATATCTGGATTACATAAGCAACTTTCTCTTTCAACTGCTCTCTTGCTCATCAATTGACCTCTCCCTATAAAATAACAGCAGCTTCAAGTACAGATCTGGCTACAAAAGGAGATAACTAATCATATTGATTTAGAATTTACTCATATTTATAACTTTCTGTGAATTTGATTAATACCAGCCTTCCCAAATTGTATCAACTCTGGGACATCAAGAATTTTCTGGGACCCATAAGTCTGGGAACTATACTCTAAAACAGTACATTTACCAAAGCTGTGTGGCTCTATACAAGCTCTTGGCTAACAGCTTTTCCCTTAGCTACATTTCTTCACCTTGTCACAGCCTTCTTTCAACTAACAGGTTTCATTACTCGTAACATGAAAATGAGTAACATAAATAAGGTTGGTGGGAAACTGTATTTTTCAGTGGGAAAGTCATATGACAAGTACTTCAAAAACGTAATTCCACTTTGGACAACTGTATACTTTATTCTTTAAATGTGACACCGATGCAATCATTTCCAAGACACAAAAGAGGGAATGCTTTTATTTTCATACTTTTTAGTCTTGACATAAAAGAGACAAACACAGACGGCAAGTGAAAACTTTTAACTAGATACGCAGACAGAAAAGGAGACACTAGAGAAAGTTCAGGCTTTTATTCATAACTTTAGAATTGGGGAGTCCAATCTTAAAAAAAGGAAAATGCTCCATTCAGCACTTGAACTCAATTTTCTTATTTAGTGGTATATATAGAATTTATGCAATAGCTCTTAGTTACGGCATACTTAGTAAGTCTGACCTTGCTTGTAGAAATAATAATACTTCATTCTCTGAACCGTTTAAAACCCAAGCCAATGCTTTTCTTTCAAGGATGTGGAAGGCTTTCCTCATTCAAATCTGATTATGGTTGCATAAAGCATGAAGATCTTTTTTATTACTTTCTTATCTATATGCTAGATTCTAATATTCTTTTTGATGGTGATGTGTTTAATAGACAGAAACTTACATTTTGAATATTCCTTTCTTCTTAATTTGTAAAACAAAATTTTAAAAGAAAAATGCTTGAAGTGACAGGAAGACATTTTTATGACTTAAGCAGCTACTACCCTAAGCTGCTGGCACAAGCAAAAATAACAAAGTTATGTATGGTTATTTAACTTTTAATTAGTCATTTCCCATAAATCCACTAATATTAAATACATTTTCTTGATAAAAACTAAGTTAACCCCCCATTTTTAAAGATGCCATTATTATGAATAAAAAAATTAACTTTCCTCTTCAATGTCCATTAATAAACTGAATCCCAACTTCCCTACTACAAAGACATAAAAATAATCTAAGGTGGATCAAACTGCACAAGTTAATATTAAAATTGCTTCTTCATAAGCTCTTCATTATGCAATCAATGTTAAAAGAATGTAAAAGGCTTGTTTTGTACTTGAGGACTTAGATAACCTCAAAGGAATTACAACTTTTGAGCTTTTAAATGTAGCATTATAATATGTGAAAATATTTCTGGCTCATAAAAAAGCAAACCAATGAAATTCCACATGTAAATAGCCTAAATATCAGTATAATTACATTCTCCACAATCTTTTACCTAAAACTACAAAGTCATCAATTTTCAGTGCTTTGAGTAAACAATTTAAGTAGTCACATGTATTTAGGTTTAAAACTAAATTTCCTCTTTCTTAATATGGAAGTATAGATGGAATAGACAGTGAAAGTTATTTTGTCTAATAACCTGAGCCTACAGAGGCATAAACCATCTATAACACAATCCCATTATGTCATCATCAATTCACCTTCTTCACCAGTAGCATCTTGGGAAATGTGAAGGTCTTCAAGCATCTCAGCCAGACTAATTCGAGGTGCTCCTTCATCATCTGTGTCACTTTCCACAGGAATGGCTGAATCTAACAAAGAATACAGGGATTTCAAATAAATGCAAACAAGGAAATATGCAAATACATACCTGCCCCCACAATCATTACTATTATTTATTCATATTATATCTGCAACTCTTTTATCATATTAAGAGCAGGCATTTAAATACTCATTGAATGACTGAACTACATGAATGTATGCACAAATATCCCCTAGTATAGGGGTCAGCCACTTGAGGGATCATAGTAGGATGCAAATTATATCAAATATGGTATAGAAAACAACATTTTAGTAAATTTTACTATTCTGTAACTTTTTGGGGTTGGGGTGTAAGTTTTTAGGGTAGTTTTAAAAACACACAACAAAAGCCATTAATGGAATCAAAGTTTGAGATACCAAAATACTCATACTAGGGTAATACATTTACATATATAGAAGATACAACTTAAATCAAACACTCTAAAACACCAACCTCTGTAAATGTTCACATTTTTTCTAATTGCCTCATCTTCTTCAAGATCTTCAAGGAAATCTTGGTATTGCCTGTATATAGAAGGATAAAAAAATTTAATTCTATCTTTACCAAGAAGATTATGAAGTTATGTTTTCTTCATCTTTAGCACTTTAAGATGTGTTCCAAGTATTAAAATCTTTAAAAATATTATCTGAAGGTCAAATATGGATGTTAATTAAATATTAAGAAAATTTTAAGAAAAAGAAACCTTCAAAATTACATGATAAAAAAAATACACAATCAGATATAAGATTGATATTAAAAATAAAATAATGAAAAGACTGCTTCCTACTTTACTCTCCCCGCAAAAAAGTCTTATGGCCACGCTGAAATACATACACTTTGAAGACTATACATGAAATAGTCAAGTATGTACTTATAATATCTAATTAACTTAACATTATTTATACATACTTGTTTTAAATTACAGTGTGAGATTATATTTTAGAAATAGTACTGTTTCCCACTCACATTTCATGACACAATTTTACTTTTTCATTTTTTGAGACATTAGTATGTTCACCATCATAAAGACCACTTCTAAATCATCCTATATACTTTTCTAGAACCGAGAATCTTCACTTCTCCTTAAGCTGTTTGGAAAACAGCATATTTGGTATCAATGAGCTGTTTTCTTTTTATCCTAAGTCATGAGTTATTTGTGATATCCACAGGTAAAATTACTTATTTTATTTTAACTTTTCAAATAAATGTTTATAGTAATACTGCAACTGTCAGGCTCTAACCCAAGAAATAATAATGGAATAGGTAAGTCATTACATCCTCTTATATTAATTCAATCAACACACTGATAAGAATACGAAATTAATATTGAGTGCATGTATCAACTGTGTGGTGACTCTCTCCTCATCATGTAAAAACCATAAAGATCTGCGTAAAAGTTTCCTCTAAGACAACATATAAATTTTAAAGAAAAGTGGGACCTTTCATCATCTGTATCCAAGTTTTCTCTATCTCTTGCAAGTTCTTTCAGCTTCCAGTTTCTACGACGCTGACGTCTGGTACGGTCATAACTCTTCTTGATCAGTACCTAAAAGTAATAGAAGTGTTTGCAAAGTTATGAAAAGTGGGAACTAGGTAAACAAGGCCTCAAAATCCAATAAACTTAAAAAAAAACAAGTTTATAGGAATGTCAGGAAGTCACCAACTGATGACAGTAGTTATATTTTGGGGAAAGGAATAGGAATCAAAAGGCAATGTCAAGAGAAGTTTTTAACATTCTTCTTCACCTACTTACTACTTTATGAGAATGCATTAACTATCATTTGTGTAACTGTTAAAATTTTCCAGAATAAAAATTAAACTTTATGCCAAAAACTTTGTTTCTGGTGGTTTTTATTTACAAAACTCAGTTTTCAGCTACCATTCACATAAATCATTCTGAAACATTACCACAGGCAGACACTTTTTCTCCCTTTTATTCCTACTAAGAAGCACTTACAGAAATATATACATATATATATCACAACTGTATATCCTAGAACAATTTAATAAATTGTGGAATGAATGAAAATAATTTTATACAACACAAAATTTTGTAAGACTATCTTGGTCTTCTTTTATTACCTTGCTGGAAAGACCTATTTAGACTTACACAGAAACCATGGTTTTATTTCCTAATAAATTAATCAATTAACAAAAGCACAAGTGGGTGAGGAGGAGAGTCCTTATTAAGCCATAATTTTATTTTGGCCCACGGCTAAAGTGATGTGTTTATTTTAGAAAATTAAGCAAGCAGGAGATACGTACGGTCTTCCACAATCACATTTACTTGCTTATGAATTCTAATAGTCATGTTAGAATTTAACAGGTATTTTCATAAGTAATATTCTTTCAGACCTGATACCGTGAAGATTATCAACTGCAATCATATTCAAATCTCAGTTAACAGTTTTAACTCTTAACTGCCTTAACTGTACAATACATGATACAAGCTGAGCCTAAAACAATGAACCTGAATAAATTCTAAAGGTCATTTTTAGCTGCACATTTATTTTTGTTCTAGACCAGTAGCAAGCAGTTTGGCAGAGAATGAGAATTTGATTTTAAGAGCAACAAAAAACTCATTAAATCTTGGACTTTCCCCACAAAAAAAGATGATTTAAAAATGAAGGCTTTCATTATTATACCTTAACTGGAATTTTAAAATCTCTCTTTTGTTATTTTCAAAGATGTGAACTCAATACATCTTACCAAAAGAATTACATCAATCCCCTTTAACACAGGAAAAAAGGGGAAAATCTAAAGCCTTACCACATCTGGGACTCTATCTGAGTTCATTTTGTTAACATGCTCATCATTTAAGTTACAATTGGCCAAATCAAACCTGAAATGAAAATAATTAATTAATGACAAAAACATGTATTCTCCCCATGTAACTTTTTATTTCATGGATAATTATCTGAAAGTTTCTCCTAAGATCCAACATTTAATATGCTTTCTCACTTTAAAAGTTTTGCAGTTTACTATGCATTAAGCAAGCTTCTACAAATTCTGGTACAGATAATAATGCACTCTATCTCCGAGTCTCACATATTATCCATTATTGTCCATCTTACCACATGCTTGTAAAAGAAGCAAAACAGAGTTACATCATTCTAACATTAAAATTCAGTTAGCTGGTTCCATTTAATTAAAAAAAAAAAAAGAAAGAAAGTCTTATTCCCTAGTGAAAAAAGAATGGAAATCGTAAGAGCAAAGTAATGTTTAAGGCATGCTGATAAGCTCTGCATCAGAATGAACTGTCCTATGCCTGTCAAGATGCCTTACATATATGGCTGCCATATTTTAAAAGTGAAATATTAGAGCAGCAGCATATGCATGATAAAGAATTACCCACTCCCCAAAGAAGCTGTAATTATGATTTAACCATATAACTACAGGATTCAATTACTCAAAACTTTGCAACAAATACTCTTTAAGAAGACAGCCAAAATGGAATAACTATGGGCTTTTGTTCAATCCAGTTTAATTTAGTTATCAATAATAAAGGAGCTGTAGGTCTTCTAACAACTCTTAAATTCTTTGGAATAAACAATTTCAATATTTTAGATAGCTTTGCTGGCTCCCCAAGAAAATTTGCAATGCTAATTGGCAGTTAAAAATACCATAAAGTAATACAAACCCCAACACCAGGTCTCCAGGATTTAGAAGATGTCCCAAATGAGTGCGACAGAAATACTGTTTATCTGTATTCATTTCAGATGTTTTCTGTACCCAGACTTCTCCAAGGGTATGCTTAACAAGAAAGAAAATGCACTCTCCAATCATCTAAGCATAACTCAAACAGTGTCTCATAGAAAAGTTATATACATGTTGATTTTGGTTTTCTTATTTTCACTCTAAGGACAAACTTTTATTTTTCAGATCTCTGAAACACTATTAAAATTAGCAAATTACTGAATTTTGAGTACAGAAAAAGAATCACAAAGAAATCATATTTTTGTTAACATTAAGATTTTATTCAAAGTTTTATAAAACATTAACAATGTCACTTGAAAAAGACATATGCAGAATTTCAAAAGAAATGTTTTCACAAATAGTTCACTATGTGTACTGAGGGAAGTCTGAAATTATAAACTAACAAACCATTAAAGTCTCTTTCCAACATAGGATTTTTACAAGCAATGTTAACTGACTTCCAGGCTAAATTAAAATAGCACATGCCAACTTCTGTCAACAAAAATAGACCCAAGTATAAGGAGATCAAGAGCAAAATACTAAGAGTTATAGACAGAATATAAGGAATCTCAACAACATAAAAAAAGAGGCAGAGATAGAGAGAAATTAAAATTCAAGACAGGTCTCAGATTCAGGAAAAAAAAATGAAAAAAAAAAGTGAATTATCAGAAAGACTAAATTCTATGTAATAGGATTCACTTTTAGCTACTAGAGTGCTTCTATTTATAAGCCTTATAAATCTGTCCTAACTAAATGTATTTTTTGAAAATCAAGAAAATATAACACCTGTTTTTATATATGGCTGAAGGGGAGTGGTGTTCTTCTGCATTTATTATAAATGATAAAAGTTTGCTCTTAACAGTATTACTAAATTTTTATTTTAAATAAAAATGTTAAAAGTAATATCTTCCATTTCCATTGATTTTCCCAAATCAACAGTGGTTGTTTTTGAGACACAGTATTACCTCAAAAGAAATAAGCACTAGTAGATTATAGATTAGGAGTCTCTCAACACTATTTCATTGTAAAAGAAATCAGACTCATATCCTTGTAGATAGGAATACATGATTTCAGAATTATACAACGTGATTCTGGAACTCCTGAATGTATTTGTGGTGTCGTGCCAGAAAGGATGCTTTCAAAGACCAGGAAAGTCATGTCAAAAGGACATAGGAATAGATCTGTATCTATTAAAGAAACTGAATTAATATTAATAACCTTCCAAAAAAGTACAGGTAGATTCACTGGTGAATTCTACCAGACATTTAAGGAAGAACCAATTCTCTACAGTCTCCTCCAGAAGACATGAACAGGGATACTTCCTAACTCATTTACAAGGCCAATATTACCCTAAAAGCAAAACCAGACAAAGATACTACAAGGAAGGCAAACTTCAGCCTGGGTTATCTCTCATGAACACAGATGTAAAAATCTTCAAGAGAATATGAAAGTACTGTACCCCATGACCAAGTGGGATTTACCCACATGTGCAAAGCTGATTCAACATTTGAAAATCAATTAATGGGATCCACCAATCCCCAAAAGCAGACTAAAGAAAAAAAATCACATGATGGTACCAATAGATGCAAAAAAGCATTTGACAAAACCCAACGCCAGTTCATGATAAAAACTCCCAGTGAACTAGGCACAGAGAGGAACCACCTCAACTTGATAAAGAATATATACAAAAAATTTATGGCTAACATAGTGGTGAGAAACTCGAAGCTTTCCCAATAAGATTAGATATAAGGCAAGCATGTCCCCTCTCTCCACTCCTGACAAGAAAAGGAAATAAAAGGTCTATAGGTTGGGAACAAAAAAATATAAGTATCTTTGTTTGCAGATAGCATGATTGTCTATGTAGAAAATCTGAATGGACAAAAATACTCCTAGAAGTAGTATTATAGCAGGGTTACAGTATACAATTATAAACAAAAATCAAACTGCTTTCCTATTCACCAACATGAGCAAATGGAATTTGAAGTTAAATTTCATTTACATTAGCACCAAAAAAATGAAATACCTTAGTATAAATTTAATAAAATATGTGTAAGATCTGTATGAGAAAATTATAAAACTCTGGTGAACAAAAATCAAAGAACAACCAAACAGATATAGTTGCATGTTCATGGTTAGAAAAACTTAGTACTTTCAAGGTATAAGTTCTGCCCAACTTGATGTACAATTCAATGCAATTCCAATCAAAATCTCCACAAATTTTTTTGTGGTTATTGGCAAACTGATTTTAAAGTTTATATGGAGAGCAAAAGATCCAGAACAGCCAGCCCAATTTTAAAGGAGAAAAACAAATTGGTAGGACCACTCTGCCCAACTTCAAAACTTACTATGAAGCTACAGTAATCAAGACAATGTGGTACTGATGAAAGGATAGACAAGTAGATCAATGGAACAGAATAGAAAGCCTAGAGAGACCCACACACAGTCCACAAAAGCGATACAATGGAGCAAAGACCAAGATAATCTTTTCAGCTAATGGTTCTGGAACAACTGGGTACCTGCATACAAAAAAAAAATCAATCTAGACACAACCCTTACACCCTTCACAAAACTGATTCAAAATGGATCCTAGACCTACAGGTAAAATGTCTAACTATAAAACTTCTAGAAGATAACATAGAATAACATAAGTGTGGCAATGACTAAATTTTAGATACAATACCAAAGGCACATGAAAGAAATAATCAACAAACTGGACTTCATTAAAATTAAAACTTCTGCCCCATGAAAGACAATTATCAAGAGAATAAGACAAGCCACAGACTGGGAGAAAACATTTGCAACAGGTACATATGATAAAGGACAATCATCCAAAATATACAAATAACTCTTAAAACTCAGCAATAAGAAAACAACACAATAAAAGCTAGGCCAAAGATCTTAAGAAACATACAGATGGCCAATAAGCATATGAAACAATGCTCCATGTCGTATGTCATCAAGGAAATAGTTGAAAACAACAATGAGATACCACTATAAACCAATTACAATGGCATGGCCAAAATCCTAAATACTGATGACACCGAATGGTGAGGATATGAGCAACAGGGCTTCTCACAAGTTGCTGGCAGGAATGCAAAAACGGTACCACCACAATGAAAGACAGTTTGGCAGTTTCTTACAAAACTAAACATATCTTACCAAATGGGCCAACAAATGTGCTCCTTGGTATTTACCAAAGAAGCTCGAAACTTATGTCGACACAAAAACCTGTACAAAGATATTTATAGGAACTTTACTCATAATTGCCAAAACCTAAGGCAACCAAGATGCTCTTCAGTAGGTGAATGAATGGGTGAACTGTGTGTAGTACATCCAAACAATGAAGTATTTTTGACACTAAAAAAAATTTTTAAATAAATGCACTATCAAGCCATGAAAACACATGTATGAACTTTAAATGCACATTACTAAGTAAAAGCAGCCAATCTGCGAAGACAATTCCAAGTACATGACATTCTACAAAACTAGAGACAGTAAAAAGGCCAGAGGTTATTCGGAGGGAGGAATAAATAAAAAGGCAGAGCACAAAGGATTTCTAGAGCGGTGAAAATATCCTGCATGATACTATGATGGATACATGCCACTGTGTATTTGTGCAAAATTGTACACAGAATGTACAAAACCAAGAGTGAAACATAATGTAAACTATGGACTTTGGGTGACTACGATGTGTTAATGTACATTCATCAACTGCAACAAATTTAACATCAGAGATACTGATAATGGAGAAAACTATATATACACGGAGGCAGGACATTATGAGGGAAATCTCTTACCTCTTCCTAATTTTGCTGTGAACCAAAACAAAAATGGCTCTAAAAAAGTAAAATTAAATTTAGGCAATCTGAAGAGGGAGGGAGGGAGGGAGGGAAGGAAGGAAGGAAGGGAGGAAGGAAGGAAGGGAGGGAGGGAGGGAGGGAGGGAGAAAGGACAGACAGACAGAAGGAAGACAGGCTTAGCAAAAAGGGGGAAAAAATCCTAGCATTACAATGGAGAGATCTAGCTATCAGTGAAACAGCCTAAGATTACTTGTCTCTTGATATATTATAAAAAGTACAGAGCATCACCTCTGAAATGTTCTGGCCAAGAATAACCTAAATTTAAGCAAACCTTTTAGATCTGTTTTCCAATTTACCAGAAATATAAGAGCTTAAGAAGCAAGTTAAAGAACATTATGAGGAAATATTAAAAAACAGATCCACAAGATAAATGCCCTAGTTGCCTTAGGAAGTTGGTATCATGAAGAAAGAGGGCAGGGCTTTCATTAAGTAAAAGATTTAAGAGGTGTAATATTCACATTCAATGTATGGCCCCTAACAGGATACTAGATTTGAACAAACCATAAAAGGCACTTAGCGACAAATGAGGGAATATGAATATAACCTATGTAGTTTATATGTGTAAAATACTTTATGTAGAAAAATGTTCCTGTTTTAGAGATGCCTACTGAAGTATTTAGTATTTAGTGATAATAAATTTAATTTAAAATGATTGAAAATTTTTAAAAAGTCAAAAGAGGTCAGCTTGTCATTTGTTTCTCCTGTACGAAAGTAAAGAAATCTAATGCTTTTTCATAATAACAAACATTTTTTTAATGTTTCTAACATCAAAAAGAAAAAAATTAAGTTACTAGATAGTTTAAGTCTAATTTTCATGGAAATGACCACATGTTAAAAGCAAGCAACAAACAAACATGGAATGCATTTTTAACCTAATTGTTAGCTTTATCTGAAACTACAGTTTGAAATTACCAACTAAGAAAACACAAGAACACAAAAAATTTCAAAAAAAAAAAAGTTGGCAGGGGGTGGTGGGGAGACGGTAAGCAGGACAGAACTTACCTTTTTTGATATCATTCCAGCACCTGCACTGCGTTTTAGATCTCGAACTATACTGCAGTCCATCACAATAAACTCCTCTAGCTGTTTGGGATGACATAAACTATTGAAAGGGTGACTCCAGAAAATGCTCCCATCAATATCTGCAACTAAAAATAAATATACAACATTAAAGAACAAGAGAATTGAGGTATTTCAAATGTGTTAACTAGGAAATGTTGGTATAAACAAACTTGGAAGCAGCAGATCAACAAGAACCACAGTGGCAACTCACTCTAGAATCATCATTTCTTCCTATAAATCAACCCCCAACTTCTACAACATAAAAGAAATATCAGGTATTAAACATACCTTAAGTAGTTACTATTGTAATACCACAGAACTGAGTGCCTTTAAAATAAGATCAGATCCAATCAGTTGCATACTTGTTTCATATGCTGGCGTTTCATTTTATAAACATCAGTCATCTCAGCTGCTTAGTTTATGGAAAATAAAGTTCTATATCACAGATGTTCATCCCAATACTGCAAACAGATGTTTGACTGATAAATTCTAACTGACAAGAATAATGAATAACTTTCTATAAAATATCAAAATAAACTCAATGTTTACAACAGAAAACTTGTATTACAGGAAATATATTAAAAAGATCAAGAAATAGGAGATGCAACAAAGTGCTAAGATAGTTATCAAAATGAGGTCTTCTTTAAAAACGTTTTTAAAGAGAATTTTAAAGATTATGTATGATGAAATTTGTTAGAATTCATATTTAAATTAAATGTTCTACTGGACTACAAGTCAAAAAATCAAATTTTAAGATATTTGCTACATGCTAAAATTTGGTAATGAATTTAACATTTACAAAATTAATAAATGAGGTAAATAAGTCAATTTCAGTAAAAATGGACTAAACCCAGATTTTTAAAGTTCACAGAATTGTTTCTTCAAATAAAAAACACAAAGGTAACTTATCAAAAGTTTTAAAAACTCCACTGTTTGTAAGAATTAAAGAGCAGTTAAAATTTTAACTAGTTTTCAAACCACTATCACTGAGAATATTTGATAAAATTAACAACATAAATTATTACTGCTTACCATAACTGTCAAGGCAATCCATTCCTAAAACTTACCTTGTAGGGTATTTGGATCTATGAGATGGACGGCACTGGTTACTCGAATACACACACAAATCTGGTTCATATTTCCCAGGCTTTGTGCCAATTTTGGAGACAGACAAACAACATTATCCTAGGCATAAGAACTAACACTTAGAATGAAGCAAATCCTAAATAAGATTCCAATAAACACTCATCAATGTAAATCTGATATACATGCATGTGTTATTTTTAATTTTATATATCAACAAAGAGCCTAAAGGAAAGAATCAGACCTTAGAGAATAGCAAATAAGCTGTACACCTTAAGATCATATGTATGTCTTAATAAAAATGTTAAAAAAATTTTTTTTCTAGATCCAATTTACCAAGATATTACGTTTATTTCAAGTTTATTGAAGTGAATGCTTAACTAAGTATTATAAACATCAGGAGAGTGATTTCCTAAATCTACTTGTAACTTCTTTCAATCTCCACAACAAATTTCAGAGAAGCAATACTTTTCTCTTTCATAGCTACATGTATCAATATGTACTCAAAGATTTAATGCCCAAAAAGGCCCTGTCTACATGTACACTGGGAGATAGTAACAACAATGTGGTTATCTGTTTTTAAACTATTAAGATATAAAAAGGATCTGAGTTATAGTTTAAGCTCTATCTATTCACAATCATGGTCTCCACTGAAAGGACATTCTGTGTATCCCTAATAGCACCTAGCCCAGTCCTGTTTTTAAGTTAAGAGTCTATAATGATTAATTAAAATAATCCTTTTGTTATGTATTCACCCAGTTATTTGTATGCATCAACCAATACACTTAATATGCGAAGCCTAAACATGCCCTTATACTTAGATTCACATTTCCCAGGTTTTATGCCAGGAAAATATTCACTGTTTTAAACCAGGGGTCTGCAAAATTATGACCCTTAGCCAAATTTAGCCTCCACTTATTTAAATAAAGTTTTGCTGGAATATATCCTCCACCATTTGTTTACTTATTATCCATAACTACATTTGTGGGACAGCAGCAGAGTAGTTACAAAAGAGACTATATGGCCTGAAAACTAAAAATACTATCCTTTTTACAGATACAGTTTGCTTATCCTGTTTTAAGCCATCATTTCATCCTTCATACTGTCCTACGCCATAAATTAGTCACAAACCTAGGCACAAATCCTGGCTTCATCATCTGTAGTTAAATAACTCTGGGAAGGTCATTTAACCTCCTCACAAGCTTCAATTTCCCCATCTTCAAAATGATAATGATATACCCCTTTTATTATGGGGCACGAAGAGGTGAAAATACACTCAAGTACTTAGACACTAACTTTATAAAATGTTCACAGTAAATTATGGCACTTATCATTACTTGTGATTTAAATATCAACACAGAAGTTCCTTTATGGCAGAGACCTCTAGATACATTATCGTTAATATACAGTCTTCTATATAGTATGTCCTCAATAACTATTTGTTGAATTTTAGTTCATTATATATATTTATAAAGCAACGTTTTTTACCTTAGCATAATTAAAATGAAATGCTAATCTATATTTAAAATGTCAGATGTTCTGTTATTAGTGTTATTTCCTATATTCAAAGTCTCATTAAAAATATCATGTATCCCCTCGGATCACAAATTTTAAGGAATCTGAATATTAAAAAAACTGTAACCGTGCCTTTTAATTAGTACAAAGGTACACTAATTTATAATTTTAAGCATAATTACTTTTCAAAATGGCTCATTGTGTCAGAAATCATTTAAGAAGTTATTCTAAGTTTTTAACCAACCCCAGAAGGCAATCAGGATCTAATAATGACAAATAAACCAATTAATCACTTCTACTTTTATAGACATGGATTGAGAAAAAGTACCTTGCATATAGGAACAATTTCCACAGAAAAAGTACTTTTGTAATTGTACGTGTTACTATGGATATCCTGAGAGATCAGTCTCTGTGAGGCCTTGTACCTATTAAGAGAAAAAGTTAATAGTAATAAAAAGACAAAAGTCCTTACTTATATAGTCTCAGGAATATCAGCTTTCATCAAATCAAATCATCACTGTCCAAGGTCCTGATGCCTGCTATGGCAATGCCTTATTTCATTCACTTACATTTCAAAACTTTCTCCAAACTGACTGCATCCTACCAATTTTCAACTTCCTCTACTCAAAACCTCCAAAACATGCCCTTGGCTTAGACTAATATATATATTATTATATATATATATTATCATCTATATATATATATATAGCATCTAATATATAGCACCAGTCTAATATATATATAGCATCCATTAAAAGCCACACTAATGCTCACTCCAAGTCTTTGCTTGTACTGATCACACCTTTCAATATAAATTCTACCTCTGAAAACTTCTCATTTTAGGAGGTTACTTCCTCCCCTATGAAACTTCTCTTCAAAGCCCTATACCACCATCATTATTTCTTTTCTTTAGGTATATTCAATCACTGGTTCAGCATTATAGTGGTTATTATCATAGAGTGAGGTCTAGTTTCCAAGAGATTCTTAACATAATATTTGGCTAATACTTCCCTTAAAGTGATTAACTGCAATAAATGCTATTAATTAACTGCATAAGTATTACTACTACATTTTAAAATATTTTAACAAAAGAGAATTTGTCTAAGCCTAAAAAGTAGGTATGACCTACTTTTAAGTCCCAGGTCCTTGGACTTAATCACATTTAGATTCAGAACATACCTACAGGGAACCGTACACTGAAGAAATTCTACCATCTTCTGAGCATGTTGTTTTGAAGAATAATAGAAATCCAGACCATCTTTTGTAAAAAAAAGTCACATGAAAATAATTCAACAAAATAAGGTCTTCCTCTACTAATATAATATTATCACAAGTTAAATGTGTATTAATCAAATTATTAGGAAATATTAAAAATATATTGAAGCCACAATAGATTAAGGATAGCATAACATTTATGATTTGTTTAACAAAAGAATAAATGCTAACAAAAGAAAACAAGATTCACAATTTTAATTCAGACAAAATTAAATTCAAAGTCAAGTGGGGAGGGAAAAACATTAAATAGGAGAGGAGGACGATATTTTATGTAATAAACTGAACAATTTACCAAGAAGACAATAGGAATGCTTCTAATACCATAGCCTTGAGATACAAAAAGCAAAAACTATTATAAAGAAGAAATCAACAAATGTTAATACATAGACAATCACTGTGGGGCCTAGTATAAGACTATAATAACCAAAATGACTAAACGGACCAAAAGTAGGAGGGAAGGATACCTGGAACCTGAATAATCAATTCTCAAGGTTGATTTGAGTGAGATTATAGAACACAATCCCAAGAAACAACACATTATTTTTAAAAATCCACACAACACTCATAAAATAATCATGTACTAACATTTTTTGGCTTTTCAATAAATTCCAAATAGTAGAAATTACTTAAGACATTATCTGATCACAATATAGGACATTAAAAATTGGCAAAAAAGGAATAAGTAAAAGCAAATATACCTAGGAAATAGACCTTAAAGATGGTCTTCTAAACTCAGCTAACTAGGAAACTAAAATAACTCAGAAAAGCCAAAACAATTTTGAAGATGAATAAAGTTGTCAGGACCTTATACCTCCCCAACTTCAAAACCTGGTAACTTTAAGTAATCAAGACAGTGGGGTACTGGCATTAAGAATAGATATATAGATCTATGGAACAGACTTCAAGAATCCAGAAATAAACTCTTAACATTTATAGTTAAAAGATCTTTGGCAGATACAAAGGGAAAGGATAATCTTTTCACTGGGAAAACAGGATAGCTACATGGAGAAAGATGAATTTAGATCCTTATCTTGCACCATGTGTAAAATTTAACTTAAAAGGGTTGGACCCAAATATAAAAACTACAACTATAAAACATTTGAAAGAAACATAGGAAAAAACTTTGTGGTACTGATTATACAAGAGTCCTTAAACACGACACCAAAGGAACAACAGAAAAAAGGAAAAAAATAAATTGGACTTCAAAATGTAAAACTTTATCAATTCAAAAGACACTATTAAGAGCAAACATCACACTTTCTGATTTCAAAATATAATACAAAGCTATAGTAATCAAAACAGTATGGACTGCCTATAGAATACAGCCCAGAAATGAATTCACACATATACATCCTGGTTGTGAACAGTACCAAGAATACACAATGGAAAAAGGACGGCCTTTCAACAAATGGTGCTGGGAAAATTGGATATCTACATGCAAAAGAATAAAGTAGGATCCCTAATACCATACAAAAAAAAAACCAATGCAAAAATAGGTTTAAGACTCAAATAAGACCCAAAACTATAAAACTCCTAGAAGAAAACACAGGGAAAAAGCTTCATGACACTGGTCTTGGCAGTAATTTCAAAGATATGACACCAAAACACAGACAACAACAAAAATAAATTACGAATACATCAAACTAAAATGCTTCTGCACAGAAAAAGAAACAACATAGCAAAAGGCAAACTATAGAATGGGAGAAAATATTTGCAAACCATTATCTGACAGGAGGTTAATCTCCAAAATATATTAGAACTCCTACAACTCAAGGGCAAAAAAAAAACTAAGAAGCTGATTAAAAAATGGATAGAGTAACTATACAGACATTTTTCCAAAGGCAGCATAAAATGGCCAACAGGTATATGAAAAATGCTCAATGTCACTAATCATCAGGGTAATGAAAAACAAAACCATACATAGATATCACTTCACATCTGTCAGGATGGTTATTATAAAAAAAAAAGTCAGTAAATATTAGTGAGGATATGGAAAAATTTGAACCCCTGTGCACTGCAGGTAGGAATGCAAAATAGTGAAACTACTATGGAAAATAATACAAAACTTCAACAGAAAATTCAAAATACAATTACCATACAATCCAGTAATCCCACTGTTAGGTATTTATCCAAAAGAATTAAAATCAGGATCTCAGAGTAGTACTCCTATGTCTACTGTACGCCTATTCACAAAAGCCAAGATGATGGATACCACAGTGGTATTAAAATAACAAAACAAGGGCGGAGCCAAGATGGCGGCGTGAGTAGAGCAGTGGAAATCTCCTCCCAAAAACACATAGAGCTATGAAAATATAACAAAGAAAAATCTTCCTAAAATAGAGACCACAGGACACAGAACAACATCCAGACCACATCCACACCTGCAAGAACCCAGCGGCTTGCGAAGGGGGTAAGATACAAGCACCGGCCCGGTGGGAGCCGAGCGCCCCTCCCCCCGGCTCCCGGCGGGTGGAAAGAAACCTGAGCGGTTTGCTTTTTTTTGGCGAGTGCTTTTTGGAAGCCTTAAAGGGACAGGGACCCCATTGCTAGGGAGGCAGGGTGACGGGACCGGTGCGTGGGTGCCTGGGACCGGCATTGAGGACGGAGGAAATCGC